TCACAAATCTAATAATAATATTTGTTTTGATTTATAGTTGTTTGAGATGATAGAATTGGAATAATAATATTATTAGTCGAAATCGAGAGATCATACAAAGCTTAGCTAGACGTCAGTAATAAATCAAAATTTTGGGTCACAAAGTAACAGATTTAGCTAAAATATGATATGAAAACTGAGTAAAATATGACAGAATATAGCTGAATTATAAAATTAAATAAAATAAGAAAATATTTACTAAAATTAAATGGGTATAGATAAAACACAATGTCTGGAAAATAAAATAAACTAAAATAAAATAAAAAAATAATTAAAATAAAAATAAACTAAAATAAAATAAAAAAAATAATTTGGTGATTTTTATTTGGTAAAATCTATTAATAATTGGATTAGGTTATTTCGCACAAGTTTTGTTATGTTTTTGATATTGAGTTTTTATAAATATACTTTCTTTTAACTTTTTCTTTTTTAAATATTTAGCTTTATACTATATTGCAGAGTATATTTGAATCTTATTCAACAATTACTTTAACACTAAGTTACATCAAATTTTAAAAATTTTGAAAGATTATACCACAATGGACTCTAAAAAATTAACTACTATCAATTGTGCAAGTACATTCGTATTTCTTTGTATTTATAAATGAATAGAAAATTATTCAATGAAAAAATTTTTGAATTCTATAATTTTCATTTAAGTAAATTGTAAACTAGATAACTTGATATCTCTTATATGATTGTTATAAATTTGAGTTAAAGGCGCAGTCGGCCGGATACGGCGACAGATGCTTCAGCACAAAAGTTATGACTTTATGGAATATTTCTTTTTTGTATCATGAGAAACCTAAAAAGACATAAAAAATTACACTTCACACTTTGTTTTTTATTTGCTTTGCAAAATATTCCAAACTAAAAATAACCGAGATCCCTTCTAGAAAGGATTCTCAGGAGTATCTTTAAACGGTTTTATGTGAACTTTAGATGAAATTTGATTAAAGAGTACATATATGAATGTTATATTAGAAAGATTATATGATACAGCTATCTACGAAATCAAACTTTGTTCATTACTATAGTAATGAAACATTATATCATCTATAACTTTTAAAGTGTAAGTCGATGTAATCTAAGAGCTCTTCAAATTTAAATTTAAATCAAAACTCTACGAAATCATTTACTAAGGTATTTTTCGATAAATTTAGGGCTCCAATCTCAAAAAACGTAGTAGATTCAAATATGCAAAATAAAAAAAATGATACATATTCAATAAAACAAAACAAGATTTTGTTAACTGTAGCAAAAAAATTACAAGCAACTCATGATTATCTCAAAACCATGACCATCTTCTTAAAAAAAAGAGAAATGTATAGATTTTTTTAACTACTATTTACTATTTTAAAGTAGAAGGCAAAAAATGTGTTACCAGCAATGAACTTAATTCTTACAACATAGTTATCAGAAGATAATCAGCTATGTATCAACATTCGTACAATTTTTTTGTAGTTTTTTTTTTGTTTTTGGGCTTTTTTATTTGGTTCATTATATCTGAATATAATTATTAGGTATACGCAATTTAATTGTTTTATAATTTGAATTGCTATTTTTACGTTAGATTCAACAGTTTTTTACATAACTTCTATAAAAGCTTACTTGTAAAATGAACCAACTGGGGTAAAAAGAACCAACTAAGCCTATACACTGGCAAGGATGTAAACAGCAAGAAAATATTTAGAAAAAAGTAAACTAAGTTAGAAAAAAGCTATGTTCAAGAGATAGCTTAAATTAATAGTTATTCCAACTTTGCTGATGAATATTTCTGACGAAATACCAGATCAAGGTTGTATACAATGTGATCTTAAAAACCATATCCCCTAAATTTATATTTTGCATTGGTTGAATCATGGTTGAATAATGTAGCTATTATTTTGTAAAATACTTTTAATATTAAAAATTTAAAAAAATGATCAGTTTGCTCCCAGGCGGTTCCTTTTTATCCAGTAAAAAGGGACAGAGGACATATTTTAGAAAAATAGTAAAAAACATATTTCTATAATTAGAAATTGACTAGCAATTTTACTGGACATACTTCGATAGTTATTTGCTTGATACGTGTTATGTGTTGTGATGTAGCTCATTTGGTTTACTTTAGACAGAATAATTACTAAAAGTCGAATTGGACCTTTGGTTCGCGCCCTATCCTATTGAAAAAATACTTTGTATGAATCGCAACAAACAAATACCGATTAGTAATAAGAGATCACCATATAATTGCGAGTTGAAAGTTAAAATTATCCCCCCAAATAATGTATAGTTTGCATTAATTATTCGTAGACGTGAACCTATTTGATCGATGTCAGTCAGGCCCAATTTCGAATAAGAGAATCAGACAGCATTTACAAACGTTCGTTGGCAAATGTTACAAAGGCACGAGATGAGAAATACAAAGTTCGCGGGCTTTTTGACTTCGCGAACATGTCAGATGAAGAGATGCCAGATGAAGCTCCGCCTCAGCATCCTCAGGAAATCGGTTTGATAAAATGTGGGTGGGATATTGAATTGGCTTACATCCCAAAAAAATAAATGAAATACGAAAACTGAACTCTTTTTGGATTATGCATCGGTTCATATTGTTTTTTATTGATTCAAACAGTGCTGTAAATTGTAAAGTAGGCACTGATCATAGGTACTAATGCTCATTGCCCGATACCTAATTGTGAAAATAGAAGTATATTGAAATCGCGCTTATTTTCTATGTACTATAACACTAAGCTAAGTAAATATTTTGGTTTAATTAATTTTGCCACGAATCATTTCTCGTTTTTAGAAGTAATGGTTTACTTTTAAAGTATCTACTTTAGTTTTTTTTTCATAAATTTTGTAATCAAAATTATCTGCCCTTTCAAATTCATATTCATCAATATTACTAATGAAGTAAAGTATTCATTAAAAAAAAAACAATATTTAAATAAACCCTATTACTTCTGAAAACGGGCAAATAATGCAGCTATGTCTATTAAAATATTGTTTGGCATGATTAAGATCATAACCTAGCTGAGTATACGCCTTTCAATTAAAATAAATCAAATAATTAATGATATCAATTAATCAATAACTATCAATTAATAAATTCTTGCTAAACTTAGTGATAACCCAACAATTATAGCAAATTAATTTGTAACTGTCTGGATTTGTTAATAAATACAATATCCCATCATTTATAGACAATCACTGAATCTGCAATTTATATTTAAAATTAATTAAAACATTCATATATTTACTGAAATTGTAATATAATGTTTTTGCCCAATTTATTTAATTTAAATTATTCTTATTAAAAATGTATCAAATTATTATTTAGAAGAAATTATATTCGTTTCTAACGATATATGTCCAAACTGCAATTCTCACTCCCAATCTTATTTATAGCATTATTAGTATTTTTTTTTTCAAACAAACGAACAAACTAAATATTCTGCAAAAAAATCAAAATTACTTTTAACTAACTTATTAACTAATTTTCTGACTATTTACTGTATTAAATTATATAATTTATACTGTCGAAAACTATATTTTATTATAATATTTTTATCTACATTTTTGGAATTCAAAATATATATGTATATATATATATATATATATAGTTATTAACTAATTTTCTGACTATTTACTGTGTTAAATTCTTTATTTTATACTGTGGAGAACTATATTTTGTTATAATATTTTTTATACCAATTTTTGGAAATTAAAATACGTAGAGAAAAAAAATGTACAAAATACTTAGCAAAATAATATTTATGGTGAAAGAATATTATTGTTTGACCAATAGTTCACTGATTACCAATTAATACAAAATTTTCAACTTTTTTTACAAAATATATTTTATTAATAAAATTGCAATAATATTGATGGGCTTCAAAGAAAAGGATCTTATATAATTGAAAATATTATTAAAGCAGTAAGTTATTATTATTATATCATTAATTATTCGATTATTAATTGTTAAAGTAAATTGCTTGACTATCAGAATATTGAAATAAAGAACGAGCAACACACTAGAATTAAACAAATGTTTCATCGATCTTGAATAAATTGAATAATTAAGTATAACTTTCAAAACAACTTTAAAATTGTTTAAAATCATTTTTTCATAACAATAACTTTTAAATCTGGAAAGAACTTTTGTGCAAAAAATGGAGTAATGCAGAAAAATTTACATTACTCTCAATTAAAATTAACCACGCTGTTCTTATTAAATTATTTTAAATTTTTTGCTGACATTCCAAGTCTTTTCAGAAAAACTAGTGAACTTGCCTTGGATAACGAATACATCAAGGATTATTTCAAAAGACACATCCCAGCAAACTAAATAATTTTATTCTCTACGCTTTTGTTAATAGTCTCTTGTGACGAATTCTCAACTTTTCTCTTTTTCCTTGCAAGGGCTAAAAATAGCAGGAAACAAAGACTATTGTAATTTCAGTACCAAAACTGTGCAAAGCCATTAACGTTCCCATATTTGTTAAATTTTGTACAAAAAAAATGTCCTGCTGAAACTAACGCAAAATGTACAAAACTGTCTTTCAAATTAGAGACGAGCAGAAGATGTTTTGACTCAAAGGGCTCCAAGATAGAACGAGATATGAACATTTGAAATATCATCTTGAAAATGATGCCAGAAATTTACAACAGACCGAGAGAGATAGAAGTTGGACGATGTTCGAGATCAAAAGAGATAGATTTATTGTGGGATGACACCGAGTTGCATGGGATCCTCTACAAGGCAAGAGGGAGGGCTTTTCGGAGTTCCTACGTTGAAATACATACGCGCGCTTAAAATTCGTAGTTAGTCGAAATCAGTCCGTTCAACTATCAGTGTTCGAGAATAAATAACATAAATACTATTTCCACATTTTTCCTTATCACTTTTCAATTACCTGTGATTTACAGACAATCAAGTAAATTGTTGAAGTGTTTTTGAAGTGATTTTGTGATCTAGTGCTCCAAATGTACGACAAAATGTCTTATGATAGCAGCAGTGCTTCCAGTTCCCCTGAACGCAATAATCTTGTTTACGAACTACCCCCGCGTTTGACAGAAATCGACCAAAACATCTATTTCGGGGACCATATGAGATGCACAAGCTACCCTAACCAATATCCCTATCATCACTTGGGCGATGTTAAAGACGCGCGTATTTCCCAAACAATCAAACAAGATTACGAATCCATTTTCGACATGGATTGCAAACCAGCAATCAATCATCGAAAACGGAAACATTCTTCTAGAGGTTTGAACAATAATTACGAATACCGTTCTGATGATGCCGAAGACGCTACATCCACCCAGAGGCCTGGTAAGATACGAAAAAAGTCACCCCAAAGTTTCGAAGAGGTCCAAATGCAACGTGTGATGGCTAATGTTCGGGAGCGTCAAAGAACCCAATCTTTGAACGAAGCTTTTGCAAGTTTGAGGAAGATTATACCGACTTTGCCTAGTGACAAATTATCAAAAATCAAAACTTTACAATTAGCTTCAAAATATATCGACTTTTTGTACCAAGTTATATCAGTGAACGACTCCAAACCACAAACTTTAGTTCAAGATGACCATGCAAATCTTCCGACGTCGACGAGTCAATGCTCGTATGTGGCCCATGAAAAATTGAGCTACGCTTTCAATGTCTGGAGAATGGAAGGCGATTGGGGAAATCCTCTGTAAATGGTGAAAAATAATTTTATTATTGTTATACTTTTATAAAGTTTTGATAGTTGTTATATGATGAAATGCTATTATATTAAAAGCATTTCAGAAACAAGCGCAGGATTTCTAATATTATATCAAAATATCAGGCACTTATAAAAAATGTTGATGATTTAAATATATTTATCAATAGCAGTAAGTTGTTAACATAGATTTAAAAAATATAGTTAAATAGTAGCTTTTATATACTCTGAACATTAATTCATATGACGGCATTCAATAAGAAAATATATTCATAAATTAAATTTCTTTAAGATAATGTATACACACAATTTTTAATTTAATTTAGGAAAAAATGATTATAATTATTAAATACATTTTATATAGCAGGCACCCTTGCTATTTAATTTTATGCATTTTTATATAAATTTTTATGCCTTCGGATAATTTGAAATTATTTTATGAATTTTTATTTGTGAAATTCTGGTCATATTGTTTATATATATTTTATAGCACTAGTATTTTTATCATCTAAAATATTTTCTTGATATATTTTTTGATTGCAAAAATTAGTTTTAAGAACCTACAATAAGACAGTATTCTACCTATAAGCTAGACCAACCAATAATTAGTTATGAAAAGATATGAATTCAAGCTAGATCCTTGATATTTTATTAATTTGTATATTTGTAAATATGAAAAAAGTCAATTGTGATGTAAGTTTAGAATACATGAATGTAAATAGTAGTTAGTCACCCAAGTGTACTTAATTCCATCACTAATTGTTAAGAAATATTGAACCCACATAGGTAAAAACATATCATTTTTGTACCGAACGGAAAAACCAATGACCGTTCAATAAAATGTTAATCCTTGGAAACTCCGTTTCAGGCCAAAGATATTGTAAAATTAAAATAGAATTTGTTTTTCCGTTTTTGTTAACACCTGCCTATAATATAAGTTTTTTTGGTATTTGTTAGAACAAATTTCAAATAAGACATCAGAAAATTTTGCAATATATAAAATTAATTTTATATCTCATTGCTAATAATCAATATTAATGTTATATGAAAATTTGATACTGATGCGAATGTTCTTCTTATGATATGTAACATGTGATCTTCGTTGAAAAAATGTAACATAAGTTTTTTCAAATGGCGCCATTGCTTTTGAAGTTTTTTTTGATATTCTTCTGTCAACTTGTAAAAAATAATACGTTTAATTATATATGTTAGTTAATCATTACTTACTTTATTCCCAGAGAGCAAAATTAAATTTTATTTCTTATTAAAATATATATGGTTGTTGAAGATAATTAAGGAGTATTTAAGTTTAAGAAAATTCATAAATATATTGAAACATGTGTAAATATATTCGATTTCATATAAAAAAATTGTTTTCTTTTTTATTAATTTTCAGGGTTTTCAGATTTTTTACAATAATTAAACTAATGAATGATTTAGCTTAATATTTAAAGTTTAATTAAAGCGTAATAATAGTGATATATAAAAGAAGTTGAATAATATTAAAACTTTTTATTTCATAATTTACCAAAAATGATTTAGTATTAAAGTATTTTTTTAAAAAATGTTTGAATTGAATATAATATTTTCAAAATCAGATTAGTTAAGTTAAATATTTAATTTATTTGAAGCAAAACTATTTTTTATGTAATATTAAATTATACATTTAATTGAAGATATTTAAATCAATTAATCTTAAACGTTAATTAAAATTGGGACTAAAAAATAAAAACTTTAATACCTTAGTATTTTTGAAATCAATAGACAAATTCTGAAAATGTAAATTTGATAATTAATAAACTTAAAACAAATATTAAAACTTCTTAATAATCCGAATTTTATTTCTGATACAGAATATTTTATCAAATACTTGTTTTGATAAAGAGATTGAATTTAAACCAGTTTTTAATAATGAATTTTCAGAAATTTTTTAACTTTGGTTATATATTTTCATTATATTATTTTATTCTAGTCACTGTTGAATTACCATAAAACCATTAAATTTTTAGAAAAAAAATGTATATATGAATAATAAGTAAGAATTTTCATTGACTAATTAATAGTTATTGTATATAATTAATTGATATGAAATGATAATAGAGTATTCCATCAGATATTCAAATCTTAAAAAAAAATATAGAAAACAGCGAGTAAAATGCAAAATGGTAAGTTCATTTTAATTGTATTTTATAGAACATAACGTTTCTGAAGATATCGTAAAAATTTATGTCTGAAATACATTATACTTGAAGCTAAAAATGAGTTGTAAAAGATATAATATGATAAACGATAATTAATGATTTTAATAAAGCACAGAAACACTGAACAATGTCATTTTTCAAATTTTTTATAAAACTTGTAGTGAACTGTAAATATTAACTTTGAATGATTGGCCAATGTACTTATTAAACCGTCAAAAATACTTTGTATTATAATTTAATAAGTTTTATTTTTGTTCGTACATGATTATTAACTTCTAATTTCTTAAGTTATAATAATAGCAAAAAAATCAAAAATGAAAATTTTTATTTATCTCTACGTTTAAGAGATTACTGAATATTTTGGCATACCTTAGAAAAAATGGATGTATGTATGTTTGTGTGTGTGTTCGGATACAAATTTTTGTCGAAGATTTCGGGAATACAGTTCAACCCATTTAAATGATTCAAAAAACTCTCAATTCCTATTGAGAAGAAGACGTGCTTTTCAAAGTTTACAGAAAAATAAAATTTTTGGTAGGGGAAGTTCCAGCAATTTGCCATAAGGCACGATGCCATGCACCACTAGTTTTTATATTTTTACATTTTTTATCACAATATATTTGCCAATCAATTTGGGCTTTTATAATCAAGATTAAAAATTAGAACAAGCGATTCTAAACACGTATTTTGGTAATTTTAAATTAATTAATTAAATAATAAGCAAAGAAATCAAAATTATATTAATCAAATTTTAAAATATTAGTGTAAACTTTCAGGGCTTGATTGTTATTTGTCAAAAATATTTACATTAAAACCTAAAAAAAAGTTCTTTTCAACGTTTGCATCTCCTTTACCAGGTACACCTGCTGAGTTACCTGTCCAATCAAAAAACGCGCCCACGAACTGGGGAAGGTGTTTCTATTCCCTATACATGGCGGTTTTAAAATGGAGTAGAAGACACAATTTACAAAAGTATATGTATTAAAAAAATAAATAACACGCACATAATATTATTTCAACAAAGTTAAAAAATAAGAGTGTCATCCAGACAAATGAAATTTGTGTTTCTCTACGTATTACTTTAATTAAATACCTATAATTACATTTCTAACACTTTTATAACATGAAAAAGAATAAATATGTTATATTCGTTTTCAATTGATACTTGAATATATTAAATTAAATTATTATTTTTCGTTAAAAAAGCCGATAAATTTAGCCCAAAAAACTGTATTTGAATAAATTTTATATTTAATAAAAATCATTGTTTCTCTATTTTGAATTAATAAATATTATACCTCGATAAGTGTTAAGTTTATTATAAAAATCTTTATGGCATTTGAATCAACTCCAGGAGGTCGTACATATCACAATTATTAAAAATACAAAATTATATGTTTTTACATTTATTTCTATTATTTTACTTACGATTAGTAAACAACATAAAGTAAATATGTAAAATAAATAAGGATATTATACCTTGGGTCATTTAATATATAATTATTACAAAATAAACCTGTGCTAAGTTCGTTATCAATTTAAATTTATTTTAAAAGCATTTAAAATGATTCACAAGACCCATTAGTTTGAATTTTACTATATTTTCGAAGTCTACAAGTGTCTTGAATTTTGTGACAGTAAACATATATAGAGTAAGTTTTTACTCATCAAGTTTTTTATCTCAAGTGATTGATTTGACTGTTAAGTGATAAAGTGCATTGCTTATGCTTAAATGGATACATTAATTCAATTTAGTTAGTAAATTAATTAATTAAATTAGTTTAGCGACTTAAGATTTTACGATTTGCACTATAAATGCCCAATTTAATTAAAAATGCTTAAACACTATATGAGTTTTCACTGCATGTTAGGCATTATTGTATAAAATACTAGTATGTTTAAATGATGCTTTCATGATTTTTACCCAACAATAGGTTCTATACATCAACCCTAAGATCTACCTCAAGTCTATAAATAATAAATTAAAATAATTCCATACTATGATGGAAGTTGGAGTTGATTTTGATTGATATTCTTAATAGAAGCCATATCGAATGTCTCAATCTTCAAAGATAGATCATTTGCAATAAATAACCAGCGATCTAAATTATTTTGGTTTCAGTTCATCATCGAAAAGATATTATGCATCCCAATGTAAACAAGAACCGCGAGCGGCGGCTGTGAGATGGTCGGAAATAGTGATCTTTTAGGGGCGTCAAACTAATTTTTAAAGATCGATTTTGAAATCGATTCTTATTAATTTTTTTTTATAAAAATCGAATGTGCGAATTGCAATGTGCAACGCCAATGAGAAATGTCTCATATTATACTTCTCATTATTACTACAATAAATGAATTATCAAAATTTTAGATAAAAGTTATTAAAAATTGTTTGTAATTTGCATGAAGTATTGGAAAGTCGGTTATTATTTTTCTTTGAGATCAAAAGTATCCATCATATTTATTGAGATATGTCTTGACTTATTTTATATATATAGTATGTCCAAAAATCCTTTAAATGGATCACTAATTGAAACAGATTTTAGTATAAGATTTTATAGAGCGCTATGGTAAGAGCTTTGTTCTTGCAATTCAAAAAACCAGATTCGATATCCACCTTGATTAATATCAAACAGTAGCGATATCGGTTTTCATTTGAAATTATAAATGCAAGACATGTTTACAAGTGAAAACGCATTCCCGGTCATTGTTGCATCAAATTTAAAAATTTCAAAAATTCCACAAATAGAAATATATCCAAAATAAATAGGTTAATCGCTTTCTGAAAAAACTA